AACACGAGATCCCGGCACGGTGCGGGCCCAGGGCCGGGAAATAATAACACGGGGGCAAATGAGATGGTAAATTTGAATGGTGCCCCGCGCCGAGTTCCATTTATTACGGAGGAGCGTGCGCTGTCATTAAATTTGTATGGTCGGGAGCAGGTTGAAGCAGCGACCCGCCTTTGTCGAACTCGGCTCCGGCCGAGAAGTCCTGGCAAACTTTTCACAGCGATTTCGGGATAACTATCTCGCACCCCTCTCCAGAATCCCTCCTTCTCCGCCCCCGCCTGGTGCCTTTTCACCTTTGCTCACGCTTGGACTGGAGCTTCTCCATGCACCACGGTTTGGCCCTGATAGATGGGGAGCATTCAGACAAACATGTTACGCCGTTGTCGAGAATGATGTTCCTTATCAGGTTTTTCCTCTACCAAAAAAAAAAAAAAAAAAAAATTGTTTGAAAACTTGGTTTTTTAACAAAACAAAACAAAAAAATCAGATTTTTAGAAAATCGGATGATGCAAATGTTTTTACATACTTGCATGAAAGCATTTTTCACAGCGCTCTCTGGCCCTTTACGACACCTAGCCGCCGAAGTCCCCTATCTCCGAAAAGCCCTTCAGGGAGTTGGCACACGGCACTTTGAAAATATTTATATATACTACATAGGTACTAGTTTCAATGGGTGACTTTTAGGTTGGGTTTGAATTGAGTCAAAGTAGATTGACTTCAAACCAAATTTTGCGTGTAAATATGAGTGTAAAAGGCTTAAGAAACATTTCAAGAGGAGTCCAATGTCTTGTGGAGATTTTGACCTGAGCTACGAAGGTATTACATTTCATTTCTGAAAAAAACTGCCTTCAATTTTGCAGATACAACACGGACATTCATCAAGCACGAATAGTTGTATCTCTGTGCCGTCATCAATGCACGCTCTACTTCCAGATTGTGTTTGTTTCCGTTTGTCTTTTATTTCAATATTGATACTTCTGAGGCTATGTGGGCAACCCATTCAAAGATAGGAGAGACGTAATCGGGTCTCCTTTCTAATCTCTTCTTCCGATTTTGAACGCCACCTCAGTAACAACATGGAGCAGAGCATTGCAAGATCATACCTCGTGTCATAGCGCCTTCATTTGGTTAGGTAACATGGACACCATCAATACGAATATTTGTAACGCTATATTGCCATCAATCCGCGTAGAGGTGTCTCTTATTTTAGAAATTTGATAAAAGTTAAGGTTTAATTTTCTAGAATTGTGCGAAAACGTGTCCAAATCAATGATCATTTTGAAAAAAAAAAAGTTTAGAGGTCTCTAAAGCGCGTGAAAGGACGCACATCTAGAGATGTTATTTTGGCAAACTTGCATCAAGTTAGGAATTTTTTTTTTTTCGACGACAACTCCATGAAATTCCCAGCCGGATTATATTGACAAAACTATCTCTGTTGCGGAAGTTATACGTATAACGTTCGGGGATGAAAAAGCAGCAGTATGTTACCAAAGAGTTACATCTTTTGAGAAAATATTCCTGACCGTCAAAAACATAAAAATAACATACAGACAATGCTTCGGAAACTATCAACACCAATGTATTGTAATACGAGTCAATATAACTTGATTTGGAACTTTTTGTTTGAAAAAAGTTTAGGGCATCTAAGGGTTTAAAAACAGTCACAGCTTTAAACAACTCATACTTCAAAACAGAATTTTTGTATTTCCGATGAATTGGAGATGCAAATCTATCACTAAGCCTCCTCCAGGCTGTTTGAGGAGAATGAAAATTCATGGAAAAGCTTTGAGGAAAATCATCTTTTTATCACTTCAGCTAGAAAACCCGTTGCTTCTGATAGACTTAAACATCGCAGGAAGAGCTGTTCAAATAATACTTCCGTCTGAAACTTTTATTAGCCGATAACGCTTCATAAGGGTATAATATTGGGGTCATAATCGATTTCCCGACAGAATGTTTAAAAACGTTATTCGCGCTTTCTGGTCCACTGCCAACTTCTCGCGCATTAAGGATGAATAAGATTTCTCTCCGCTTCTGGTCTTATTTTGACCTAAAAAAAATCATAAAAGAGGGCTGAGTTCCACGTAGAAGAAAGGAGCTTACCAGCTCACCTGAGCCTTATCGCATGATATACCATGCATTTAAATATAGTAGACGAATTATAAACTGAGGTCCTTTAATGAAAATAGTGTTATTTTGCACGGAAAAATGGACTGCTGATTTAACAATAAAATTTTTGAAAAAAAGGTCTGAAATGTTTCAAATGTACATTCTACAAAAGTAGAGAGCTAATTTAACCACGGGGGTGGTTGGATTTTCGGCTTTTATTGTAAAATCTACATTGAAAAAAGTCGGATAATTTTTTTAGCTACAAAATCGTTAAATCAGCAATATCATTTTTTTCCGCGTAGATGGTTTAAAGAACCAAAAGGGATGAAAATTTAACAAAAATTTGGGATCAGTCGTTTTTTAGTAATTTTCCTCTCTTTAATTAGATAAAAAGGTAAAATCAAATACGGGTGGTTCTCAATCGTTAAGTTTAGGAGGGGGGAGTTTTAAAAATGAGCTCCCGAATTCCCAAGCAGTTTGCGGACCGATTATCATTGAAATTGAAGGAACAAAGCTCGTCAAAGATAAAGAAGAGAAAAAAGAAAATGGAGCAATCCTATTGGTGGAAGCTGGTAGGTTGCCATGGAAAAAAGAGGAAAATGGGGTACTCGTATACTAAGGGGCCTCTCGTGGGTTGCTGTTAGTTAGTCCATCATTTCCCTTCTTTCGCCTATTGCAGCTTTTCGCTTTCACCATTAGTTTCACTAATTTTCCCCTTTGTATTTTTTGTCGATAGCTTTATCTATCAATCTAAATAGTCGGTCCGATGGAAAATAACGAGATGACCGAGTAAATGACGGAATACTTTTGAACACTGGAAAAAAAACACATTGGATCTAGAGTCCAGACTCTTAAAAACATCGACCAGAAAAAGTACTCTTGGTTCAATCAGAATCTAGCTTGAATCAAGAACCAAGCCTCTTAATTTAAGCGGATTTCGTTTTGATTCAAGCAAAAATCCGATTGAATCAAGAGTATTTTTTCTTGTCAAAGTCTTCAAGAGCCTGGACTCTAGATCCATTGTGTTTTTTTCCAGTGAACACAGGAATACACGGCCAAGACACTAAGACTATGAAAACAGGTGAGGTACTTCTCTGAAAAGCGTTGCCGCAGAATCCTGGCAGCAGTTTTGTCGTGGGTGTAAATTACAAGGGCACGAAACGGAAGCGTATTCTCGCACAAATTTCGGCTCCTGGGAAGGGTGAGAAGCCGTAAGCCTGCAGTTAAGATAGCGTGCGCCCGTGCCCGTGCCGCGCGTGAAAATGACGCTGGCCCCGGGCCCCCGGCGCACAGTGAAACAAGCTAATAGGAAAGGTCGGACACGAAATTATTGGCTAAAATTTCAAATTTCGATGTTTATTTCGTTACAAATTCAATCCCAAAGGATGCTTTTGAGAGGTAATTTCACGAAAAAGCCGATGAAACCACCCCACGGTGTCAACTTTTTTTTTCATTTCGGGAAATCCTTATGAAATCCTGATTTTATCCTGATTTTAGACTGCTAAATCCTGATTTCAACATTTTTCCAAATCCTGATCAAATCCTGATTTTTTTCGGAGAAAAATTAAAATTTCTGCACAAACGTTATGCGAAAGCATAAAAAAATCCGATCGGACAGCCAACTTTTCTCAAATCCCGATTTTTCCTCAAATCCTGATGAAATCGGGATCAAATCCTGATTAACCTCGAATCCTGATAGAATCGGAAAAATCCTGATGCTAGACACCCTGCATTCTTACGACGTTTTTGCTTCATATTTTCAAAAAAATAAGCTTCAGAGTTTCCAGATTTTGTCCGACATCTCCTATTGACTGGGTCCATTGTTCGGCGGGCGCGCGCGGTGACTCAAATCACACGCAACGCAATCCCCTCACCGATTCGACCTCCGAGTAATTTTATTTATTACTCACGAGGCCGTATCTCACCGGAAGGAGCGGGCGTAAAAAAGAAGAAGAAGCACGGGCTACGCACCGAAAAGCTCCGCGGTCCGTCCAAGGGGTTGACCATCGATGTCGGATTTCCGAGCGGCGCGCGGCGCGGGGATGTTCACGGAATGGACCGTATCAGAAAAGATCGGTTAAATTAAAATCAATGGGGAAAACAATTAATAACTAAAAACGTATATATTTTGAATTGAGAGATTTTGGCGACGCTAATCTTTCTCTAGCATGCTGTTGTGCTGAGAGAGACGCCGTATGAACATTCGAGAGTCGCCAAATATCCTCCAATAAAAATTTAAATTTCAAAAAAAAAAAAAAACTTATGATTTTTTCCATTGTAAGTTTCAGATATTAGAGCTGATGAGTAAGTCTCTGAAAAGTTGGAGGGAAAGTTTTCACAGATTTCCCTGAAAATTCGTATTTTAACGGAGGAAATTTGTCAGCATCTACAGGCTCATACGGTTTTCTTTATTAGCACAGCAGCATTGGTCTGGTAGTTTCAGAATGTAATCAAGTTTTTTTTTTTTCAAAAAATAATTTTTAAACACTTTTCAGAAACTTTTCTTAACGCGTACCTATGTCTTCTGGTATTATGAGTTCAAGTTGAAAAATTGTTGTCCGCTCTATACTTTCTTTATCTGTATAATGAAAGTACTTTAATTTAAATGAATAATCACTCCTACTTGTAAAGAACTTGTAAAGAAACAATCGATGAATGTCAGCAATACTACAGTTTTCCTAGGAAATCGTATTTTTACACGTGGCAAGAACAGATGCCCATAACTCAACAGCACCAAAAGAATAACCCAAGTCACATCGGGCGGTGTTGAAAAAACGTTCACGCGCAATAAAACAAGTACATGGGTGGGAGCGATGTTTTGAATGAAAGAATCATGGAGAGGGGCACGAAAGGGGATGAATAGCAACGTACAGGGTAGAAATAAAAACACTTACCTTTGAATAGATGTGCAGCAGCTACAATCTTGAACAAAGCAGCCCCTGCGCAGAAAGAAAAGCGAATCATAATGGTGTCAAAACATGTGCTTGAGAATAAAGTAGATTCGGATGATGACCTGAATGATACATTTTTTTCCTGTGTGAGGGGGTGTGTGTGTGTGTGTCGCACGAGGTAGATACATGTACCGTTTGATTATTTAGGTAAGTTCAGAGTGACAAATTCTTCGTGCGGTTTGAGAAAATTCCCCAAAAAATGAACAAACAGATAAAATAGACGCATGTCGCTTTAGGAACATCGCTTGTATTAGAGTACTGCAGGCTGAGATTGTGCTATTTCTTTCATCTTATAGGAAAACCTTAAAATGCAAAGTTTCAATTTTGTAGAGGAAGGAAATGTAGTAGCAAAGGTAATCTTGAATCCACGTTTACTACTGACTGAAGGTAAAATTACAGTACCCGTAGAATTAACCTAACCTTGGAAAATATTTGCCACGGTGATTTGACTGTGGCTGATTTTACTTTTAATAACGTTAAAAAATATATATATATATATTTTTTTAAAAAGAAAGTCATTTTCGGAAAGTGAGAATGGCAAAAATTTGTATACATAAAACTTCGATCCCTGGGAATTCATTTAGAATTCCCGAGACAAATTCTGGGCTTATATGAAATGTTCTTCAGATTGCAGAGTGCACTGCCCCGGCAAGGATTTGTGCCAACGCATCGTTGCGTTTACAACTTCTTCGGCATCACAACAAGAATGAAACAGTCTTGGACATTTGGCAACGTTGATGCATAATTATTCTTGGCACCACTCCCCCCGTTCCCCAGAGATTTATGAAAATAAATATTGTCTCTCCACCCATAGACGCTCATTCCTTTCCGTACTTTTAATTGTTTACTTTTCTAAAAGCCCCGCACAATAAGTTTGCCTGCAAGTTCTCTATTAGTCGAAACAATTGACGAAGTCATTCTCCAAAAGGATATAACTATTCTGTTTCTGAGGTTGCCAGCTTCAGTTAAAACAAAGAACTCTTAGATATTCTACGCTTTTTTATGAGAGAGTTTATGAAACTCTAATAAAACCATACAGAGTAAAATTAATAAGTTTATGATATCATAGAGAAAAACTCTCAACCTAACATCACAAAAAAGGGGAAAACATTTTAAGATCCTCTGATGGATCTTTTCCATCACAATTCGTCATTTTCCCCCCAAAAGAACGTAACTAAATTTCAATGTTACCAAATTTCCCCTCACATATTGAAATTTTACCAGAGGAATCTTGAGCAAATCTAACTGGGAATTGCACCGATTTTTCATCTGATCTCTAGCAAAAATCAGATAAAATTTGAATAAAAATTGCAAAGGTACAATAATCTTGTAAAAAATCGAATTGTGCGAGTCAATTTTGCAACCTTGGAATGGAGTTGCGTTCCTTTGTCCAGGCAACGACGAATTGAGGCTCTGGATAAAGGGCGAACTGAATCACTCTGTCCGTCGCATTTTTTCACTACACAGGGAGAGAAAAATTTGTTCACAAAATGGCAAGTCCGGTTTTTAACCCCTGGAGACGATATGGGTATTTAAAAATAACAGAAAATAACATCAGTTAATTGACAAACATACAGATGACAAACAATGAAGACGTTGAAATCACTTCGGCGTTGCACTAATTAAGTCTGGACCTTGATTTGTGACTTTGAAATGGTGTAGAGGTCAACATAGTTTGGAGCAGTTGAAGGTCTGTATTCAGCTTAGTAATCGACTTATGCGACTCGGTCTGTGTTTAAACTAATTTTTCGGCGGAGGAACGAAGATAGATGAGCAGAAACTTAGTTGTACTCGTCGTCTAAGATTTCCGAGCGGTATCCGGTGTTTTGTAGAGCCCTCTTAACTTGTTGCCAAAGCGACAGAATGCTACTCTCAATTTTCAGCGGGGCGATTCGCCTTCAATTGAGAGTATAGGCAAAATTGCATCTCGAGAGTTCGAATAGTTGTATCTCAACTCTGTATTCATATTCCGTGGATTGAAAACGTTTATTTGATGAATTGATGGGGCAATGAGGCAAGCTAGGTCATGGAAATTTGTTTCGTTAAACACCGAGAAAACTATACCTTATCAAGAGGTGCTAGACCTTCAACACAGGAAGAAAATTACCAATTCAAGCTTTATTCAGGTAAGTCTAAATCAGGTACAGAGTAAGCTTTATAGGTCTTCAGATATGACGGCTTGTGACTTCCCATGCCAATCTTTCTTACTTTGCTTTCTTTAAAGGGAACAATTTTTATTTTTAGTGTGATCGTTTTCTTTTGCTTCGTATATTTAAAAGATTCATTCTTTTATATCTATTTTTTAACCGTATATTAATCCAGATTCCAAAGACTATTAGATTCACGGCGGAGTTCTGAAAATTATAACTCGGATGAAAAACTTAAAAACTTCACATGTATGAAAAATGGGGGGGGAGAGGGCGAGAGGGGGCGATTTGTCTCATGAAAAAAGATAAAATAATTTAAAATATACGCCCATTTTTTCAAAGCCATTGGCGTTACATATTCATAAAAATGGCCAAAACATCTTACCGAATCTGCCATCTTACCGAGTTATCTTTCTGAAGTGTGCGGATGAAAATGATACTGTCAAAAACGATGGGCTATTAAGTATTGATTTTTAATAAGAAGTATTACTTATAGGTAAATGATACTTACTTTTTTCAATTGAGACGGAAATGATTCTGTTCGTTAATTCTAGTTATAATTAAATTTAAAGAAAAAAAATTGATTTTAAGTAGAGCAATTCACGCGAAAAAGGACAAAGTGGAATAAAACTAATAACGTTGGCCAGGAAGTTTTTCCCATGCAGTCAGTTGGATCTTGGAGAAATTAAATTATAATCCGCACGTAGGTACAAAAAAATGAATCTCAAAATTTCACATTTGAGCTATGCAAGGAGAGGGCACGCCTCCAATTTAGCGGATCGATTTGAGACAGGATTTGACAATAGCGCTTCGTTTAGATTTGTTCGAAGCGTCGAGACTAAACTTTCGTCGCCAAACTAATTAATACCAAAGTTTCTTTTCGCCGGATAGTACGAGGCAATATTATCATTATCCAATTAAAAGACGCTCGTTTTTAATTATCATAAGTGCCTAATTCATCGCTTTATTTTCTTGTCGACCGTTGACTGTTCTGAAAATACGTCTGCATTTAGGATTCTGTTCACCCCTTAGAATGTAGCTGGGGCTGCTTATTTTTGTACAGTCACAAGCCAAAAGGATAGCTATTACGATTTCTGGATTGGAGCCTCTAAATGATACCGAAATTCCCTTGATTTTAGGTTCTTTGATGGTGAATTGGGTCAACTTTGCTAATCACGGAACCGGGCTTAAACTTTTATACTTATTAAAACGGCCCGATGAAATCGAACTAATCTGGTAAGTCAGGAACACGCAATCAAAGTATTTGGTCTTCCTTAACCGACAAATTTTGTTGAAATAATCGAATTTGAATTTGAAAGAAAACAAATCCCTCCTCATAAGAAGATATTTACCTTCTAACTATACCTATTCTAACTTCTCTATTTGTATTTTCCTTCTAACTCCTCGAATGCTCATTTTTTGTTACTTTTACGCCTAACAGGATATTAACTATGATTTTTCTGTTATCGGCTGGTTACGATATCACCCGTCTGCAAAATTTGAATTTCTTCAAATTTATTAATTTCAAATTACGCCGCACACATTTCTTATCATCACAAACCTGTTTGGCAAACCTTAGGCTGCATCGCGGCTAGGAAGGGCACTCCTCATCGTCGTGTTCCCAGGTGAAATGAATGGAAACAAGCAGTTCCAACGCCAAAGCGTTGGAGGGCGCTTCTTTAACACTGCGCATGCGAGGAACGTTTTCATACGGCCAAGCGAGAGTATTGCGGACGGACTATGTATAACAAATTGCCTACGTGAAGGTGGTCCGGCAGCAACATACCCGCCGCTAGTCTCTGGAAAACAATAGAAAATAGTAGTTGCGTACGTTGCCAGCGAGCGCGCTGCGAGCGCATCTGTTTCAATTACCTAGCATCGAGTCGGGCCTCTAACTTTCTATTCTCTCTGACATAACCTTAAACCTTCAACCCAGAGCCGCAAACAGCTGACGCTTGACGATGCTGCGCCGAGAAAATGAACCAATCACAAAATAGCACAGTAATACGTCACTAAAATGAAGAGATCACGTGACTGTTCGTGATTTTTTCGAATCAATCTGAAACTACAACCTCGAATATGAGGCGTTTAAGCATAACGAAGCCCCAAAATAGTTTAACCAGGTAATACGTCCGTGCGAGATTGTTATGCTTAAAAGCAAAACATTTCACGAAAACTTTTACGAATACCAGATGCAGAAAAAAATCAAATTTTCCCGGGTGTACCAGAATGGCGTCATTACCCATAAGGCAAAACGGTATGTAGTATAGTACATGTTACATCGGGGGAGTCGAACGACTGGAAAGGGCGCATCTGGTACCCAGAAGCGCCCAAAATGTCGGGAACCTATTTCACTGCCTCGAGCGGGCTAACTCCCTCTCCATAGCGTATTTAATTATAGGTAATTTATACTGCCACTCACATTACTTCTATTTCAAGGAAAAATAAAGATACAGTTGGAAAAAATTTATTTCACTCATCCGAATCTCGGAACCGACATCTTACAAAAACAAAAGGAATCCTCGGGTGGTTCGAAAGAGTTATAAAGCTGATGTTGAGTTAGGAGAGGGGTGGGGGTTCGGGGGGTATTCGGAAGGGAACGAGGATACAGAGGAAAGAGAGGAAGGTGGTCTCCGAGACCTTAGATGTCGTCTATGCCGTCGCCAAATGGCAATTCCTTCCCGGATCGCAATTTAAATTCGTCGCAAGTTATCATGGCGTCATTTATTTTATAACGCCCCGAAACAAATTACAAATAAATTATGCCCCGCCCGCCCTCTGTCGTCTCACCTAAGTCACCTACATTCATTGCGCCCGGAAATGGGACAGCCTGGATTTCCG